TCAGGAGAGCCCCGTGCCCTGAACCCAGGCTGGGTGGCTACTCCAGCCTCTGGTGTCCTCAGCGTCAACACACAGACATGTTTCGCACCTCTAGGCCTTTGGGATTCTCCCAAAGCAAAGGACAGAGTGGGCCCTGCAGGCCATCACCAGGCCCCTCTCTTTCAGTGACCTTCTCTGTGACGATGGGAAGCCTTGGTCACTTTTTGCTGTGTTGGAACTTATCCTTTTTCCTGTATTTTACATCAGTGCTCTTGGTTTTACAACCTTCCTCTGTGAAATGGGCCTGAGCGAGGATCCTGCCCGTGTGGGTCTCAGGGCAGCGTCGTGCCCACGCTCAGCAGTGTCCACTCTCCTTACAGCATCACACAGTCCGAGAAGGAAGGAGGTGTCCTTGGTTTTATCTTCCCCATGGATGCAGACCTCTCCTTAAAAAGTTCTTGTGGTCAAAGGGAGAAAGCACAAACCCGACTCTGTCCTCCATGGGCCACTCCTGCCACTCTGTGGCTGGTGACGGCTGCACGAGCCAGGGACGTGTTGTCCCTTGCCTGTCTGCGCATGGTTTGTGTGCGTTCTCTCCTCCACGAGGTTTGGCTGACTCACGCGTAATTAGTGACTCAGGACAACCCTGTTCTCCACATCCTCCAACAGCCAGCCATGTGGAAACTCGCCCTTCTGAAGGCAGGAGCGACGCAGGAACAGATCTAAAAAAGTAAACTCAAAGGGGCTGCTATGCCTTACGAAGGATGGCTCCTTAGGAAGGCATGACCCTCTGCTCCTTGCAGTAACTCTTATACAACACCTATAAGGTCGCTGTAACGATGTCACTTGCTCTTCATAGTTCTGAACTCCATCAAGCATCCACACTTTAGACAGGTACCCGGTCTCTTAGGAGATGGTTTCCCATCCCTAACGCATCCCCCACCCCCGGCAGCATCCTACTCACCCTACAAATCCTTGTGAGTCAGTCACCCTGTGGACCTCCACTCACCTTCTCCAAGACAACATCTGGGGGTGCAGCCCCAGTCTTGGGGGACTCCTTGGGCTGGCACCCTCCCCTCTGCACCAGGAGGCCCACTTTCCAGGGAGGTTCTTCCCTGTGGGTTAGGTCCTCTTCTCCTGAGCTCCATTGAAAGAAGTGCAGAATTTAAAAAAGTTGGACAGGCGGCATGGCCCAAGTGGCAAACCCAAGGCCCTGAGTTCAAACTCTGGTACCACCAAAAGAAAAAAAGTGTTTAAGTCTGGCTTATTTTGCTTAATATGATGATCTGTGGTTCCATCTGTTTATCCTGCAAATGACATGTTTTTGCTCTTTATGGCAGAATGGTATTCCACTGTGTATATATACGACATTTTCCTTATCCATTCCTGCATTGATGGCACCTAGGCTGGATCTACCTGACCCTGAATGTAGAACAGTGATTACTAGAGGTTTATAAGGGGGTAGACAAAGTAAAAATGGGTTTGATCAGTGCACGTTGTATCCATGTGTTGAAATAATATGAAGCTGAATTCTATTAATATGGATAATTAATACATCTTAATAAAAAACAAAGTATTTTGAAAGGCGCTTTCTAAGAAAATAAAGGCAAAACACAACAACAACAACAACAAAAACAAAACCAAAATTCAGGAAGAGAGAATGCTTGGACTTTACAGAGCATGGCCCTGGTGGGTGACAGTGGCCTGGTTGCCCAGACCAGAGAGGCCAAGGCTCGTGGGCTCCCTCTCAGTGCTGTAATTCTTCCCTTTGACTGAACACCTGTGACTGCCAGCAGACAGTGTCTGCAGGTCCTGTCAAGGGCAGTGTCTTTCAGGCCAACTGCTCTGTGCTCACAGGAAAGGGGACAAACACTGCGCCTGTCTATTTCACAGACATGAAAACAGAGCTGGGGGAGGCAGCAGGAGTTGTAGGCTTAACACCAAGTTCATGGGCCCCCATAATCCACGTTCCTTTCCAGATGTGGCCTTGTGGTGCTCCTGCTCAGGAGAGCTCTGATGATCTGTGCCTGACCTTCTGCACCCTGCTGGCCCTACAACAGCCATCCTGCACATTCTGTGTTTCCTCTGACCTGGCTCAGTGTGGCTCTGCTCTGCCACAGGAACACCTTGACCTCCCTGCAGTCACCAGGTGCTTGGCCTCTCTACCATGACTGTCCATCACCAGACCCAGCCCATCAGCGGCTACACAGCCCACGTGGTCTCAGTCTGTCACCTTGTGAAGACCTTCTTCTCTTCTTCCTCATTCTGCCACCTGGCCCAGCTCTCCTCCTGCTCTTCTCCTTTTCCTCCTCCTGACTCCTGGTGCAGTTCTCTTCATTCTCCCTCTTCCTGTGTGGAGCCTCCCTGGACTCCTCCTTCCCAGGGGTGAAAAATGGCCCCAACACTCCTCTGGGCATCCCCTTTACGTGCTGAACTCACAATGCGTAAGTGAACAAGAGCAACCACAGTGGACAAGGACCCCTGGTGGGGAAGCAGGGCTCTGGGAGCTGGGGTCCTTCTTCCAGGGGCCATGGCCAGGCTGGCCCACCTGAGCACATTCTGGCATCATGGGGAAGTCACTCAGCCCCAGTTCCTAGCGATGACTTCACAGACGCTATGACAGCCTCCTTCCAGCTTTGTGGGGTGCGCCTTGCTCCCACCTTGGCATTGAATATAAACAGTGCTTGGTCTTTATTTCTTCAGATCTTTACATTAAATGTCACGTTTTGCCCAACGCCCCACTGGAGCAGCTGAGCATGCAGAATGGTGGACATCATGTCTTCATCTGGACTTTGTGTAATTCCTCTGCAGGCCCCAATCCTTCTTGTATAGCTGAGTACAACCATCATGTTAGCTGTCTGATAAACATGGTCACTGCCTTACGGAGGTCGGCTGACTGATCACCATGGAATTATCTTCCTTGTAGCTTTAATGAGCCAGAAGGTCACCTACTCCAGCTCATTCCCAGGAGCTGACACCCGCAGGCTTCCTGCAGCCTGGTGGAGGGGGAGCTGTCCAGGAGCTGGTTACCTGCACCTGAACCTGGCTGACTCAATGGACTTTCTCAGCCTCAGCCATGGGAACAGGCAGGCCTGGCATTCCCAAGCCAAAAGATGAGCCATGTGGTCGGGTATGGTGGGTGAGGATTTGGATCTAACTGTGGTTTTCTTACACAATCTCTACGACCCTTGACTCCAACCCCAGGGCAAAAAGGCAAGGTCAAAGGAGAGGAAGTAGAGACTGGTGAGGGGCGATGGGCTCTCCGTGGCTCCAGTGACTCCAGACCATCCCACCTCCCTCCACATCATCACTCCCCTCACACCTATCTGCGTTCTTAGGGGGAAGGTATTAGGTCACATTCCTATAAACAAAGCATCGATTACAGGAAGACATGGTTCCCCTGCAGTTTACAACCTATACAGCTGTCTGAGAGCTGGCCAAGCTCCTACACTGGCTCAGAATGTATTTCTAGGTCAGGTGCTGCAGGCCTAGGTGTGCATTTTGTAAGACGCCTGTCACGGAGTGACAGCAACTGCCTCCGTGTGGGATACCTCATTTTAGGCCTAGTGAGGTTTTGGCCTAAAAAGTCAGACATGAGCAGTGGTTCTGTGACCGACAATGACCGTGGGCAGCTGTCACAGGAGGAGTGGAACACTTGTGTGCTATATTCATGTGCTAAGTGAACAAGGAACACTCAGATCCCCATCTGTGCCACCCCAAATCAGCAGGGAGAGTGATTTTGGGGCCCCTGTTCCAGATCTGTCAAGGTTGGAATTAGAGAAAGCAGGCCCGGGACTGTTGCTAATGGTGAGACTTCTCAAGTCTTGCTCTATCTCCTGTTGAGTTATCTGGGCGCCTCAGGCTCCCTGCACACAGGTCTAGAATGGCACATTTTCCCCAGGACAGACTTGAAGGTTCACAGACATGTCTTGGCCAACGAGTCTTGGCCTTGCCCATGGCCACTGGGCCTCAACTCCAGGCTCTGCAGGAGCCTTACAGCAAATAGCAGTTCTCTGGCTTTTTGTGGCCTAATGTCACCACCCGCATTGTTATTAAATGATGAGGTAAGAAAAGTGTCCTCAGAGTAGGTGTGTAAGAAGAATGTGCAGGACCATGGCTACCCTGAGACTGGGGAATTATCTGTGCCATGAAAACCTTTCCCTGATCCGTGACAGCAGCAGCTGTCCCCAAAGCCAGAAAACGGGGCTCTGCCTTTTGTCAGCGGAGGCCCTGTCTCGGGGTGTCACGGCACAGCGTTGAGCTTCAGCCTTCGCAATCACTAACCAGGAAGACTCTTGCAGCTTGGAGAGCCAGGAGATGGCGGGCAGGAAGTGCAGAATCATGACCGTCTCTCTTAATGAAACCCAGACATTAATTATGCACTATGAGGCAATACACAGCCACTCTGCCTGTGGTCACTCCAGGACTGGCACAGCTGGAGAAAGGCATGTCCCTATGGAAAAGGGTCTCACACTGAGAGTGGCAGCACCCATGCCTCTGAAAGGCTCCTTGATGGGCTGAACACCATTGCACATCTTCCCCGCCTCACTTTCAATGACAGGCTGCACACAAGAGGCAATGTACCCAAACAGTGCTCAGTGGGCTGGGATGCGAGGGTGAGGGAGGCAACTGCCACTGTCAAAGAGTAGAAAGGTGCACACAGTCAGCACTAATAGATGTGCATCTCCATCACTGAGAACAAGACAGCACAGGATCTCACACACCACAAAGCTTGTGTGGAGGCTCCTTCTCTAAGCAGAAGAATGGACAAGGTCTCAGGAATCAATACTCCCTCTGAATCGAGGGCTCATTGTGGAGACCTCTGTGCGTGAGCTTCCCAGGGCGGGAGGTGACCGTCCTTCTGCCATCTTCCCTAGTTAGTTAGGAAGCAGCTGACCGAGGACTTTGGGAGGGGAAGGGCCCATGTTTGGGAGAGGAAGCACCAGCAGCTGCTTCCTTCTGTTCCCTCCTTCACAGAGGTCAGAGCCACTTTGCTCTGTCACAGAAGACACCAGTCTTACCAGGATCATGTGGCCAGTGGAAATGTCCATGTTGGACTGGACAGGCTCCTCAGACCATGACGAGGTGCTGCTCCGTGCCGAAGGGCTGGGCATTGGCCCGTCACTGAACTGGGATGAGACACTGCTGATACGGGAGGTGTGTGGGCCCTCGGGGCGGTCCGGTGGCCGTGTGACCATGCGTTGGCGGCATAGCTCCTGCAAGACAGAGGGGTTGGGGACAGAGTCAGTGCTGAGCAGCCTTCCAGGAAGCCCATGGGTTGTCTTGCAGGCTGTGGGGCACTGGCCCCATCTCACCCACCTGCTTGTCCTAAGAGCCAAGGTTCATACCCATGAGAAGTCACTCTCTGGGCCACCAGGTGGCCTTGGGACATCGCCATTCAGCACACACCATCAGTGTCTCACACAGGAAGGAGGCACCATTTTGCCCTCTTGAGAGCCACAAGGCATTGGAGGAGACTGGTTCTAGAACAATCGGGTGCACACGTGTGGATGCACATACATACCTACACTCACACACAGTGGACACCTACACATATACACACACGCACAATGGATTTATGGAAGGGGCCCTCTGTCCTACTCTGGTCAAATGGAATATTCTAGAATAACGCAACATACAACAGATAGATGGAGTGAGAGATCTTGCCTTCCACGTGAGAATGGGGTGGTCAGGGGCAGGTTACAAGCAGACTAAAATATATGAACAGATCTGTGGTCAGAGTGTTGAGTGACAAGAACCTCACTTTGGCATTTTTTTTTTCTCTCCCAAAACAACTTCCACACTGACAAAAGCCCACATGGAGTCAGAGGATTTAGGCAGCATGATGGATGCTGTGGTGTGGACCTCAGGCTTCGAGGTTAGCCTGAGCTCCTGCCCTGCCTGACAAGACACCATCCTGGGAGCCCTGGACACAGAGTTCCATGCTTCTGCCTGTTGAACGTGTGCTGTGGTTTGAGTCAGTGACATGGATGAACATCAAGAAGTATATGGGGCCTCTGGTTCCACAGAACAGCGAGAAATGCATTCATGAATGCTGTGCTTGAAGGGCTGCTCTGTTCCTGTCCCCTTCCCTTTTAATCTTGTGGCATCCAGGGCAGCCTCCCACCCACATGCTCCCCAGCAGTGTGAACCAAAGCCCACTCAGCTCCCCAGGGCAGTACTGAAGGTCCAGAACATGTCCACATGTTCCACCCTGGGCTGCCCACGTGGAGAATTTCTCCTGGCCGCTCTGCTCTCTATGGGTGACAGTTTGTCCTGACTCCCTTCCCCAGGACTCTCTGATAAGCGCAGCTCCACACAGGTGTTGTGAGCAGGTCGCCCTTCCTGGGACCGGCATCCCACCCAAGCCCCAGTGCCTGGTACAGCAAGTGCTGACAGTGAAGGTGACCATTGGGCATCTGGGAGGTGACCGAGGGGAAAAGCTGAATCTTAAAAAAAAAAGGGGGCTACTGTGAGGACAGGAGGCCTCTAACAAAGGGGAAATAAATAGTGAGCCATGACTGTATTTCCAGTTCCTTCTCTGTATGTATTTCCAAGTACTTCTTAGTTTATAGATAGTTTTTGAGCAATGCGTTTGCTTACAAAAGAAATCAAGCCAAGTTCTCTGAGAAGCTCAAAAGCAACGCAGAGTGAGCAGACAAGACCCCATGCACAGGGAGCACATGAGTGAGGTAGACGTGCAGCAGCCAGCCCGGGTGTGCACTTTCATTTCCTTTGTGCCTAAGGGTGTTGCTTGATTCGGGGAAAGGGCACCAGGAAACAGCTCTGCTGTAACCTATGTGGCTTACCAGAGTCTGCCCAGGAAAACAGAAGTCCAACCAGAACACAAAACAACCACAGCTCAGGCTGAGAGCCAGTGTCCCCTGGGTCGGGGGACTTGGTGGAGGGACAGTGGTCTACCCACGAAGACAGAAGTCAGACTGGCCATGTGTCCACCCTGTGGAGGCCCATGGAAGAGTTACAATGAGACCAGATTTCTTAGTGGTTACCAGCATCGGGGAGTGGGGGTGAGAGAAAGTACGATATCGGTTAACGGGTACAGAGCTTCATTTTAGAAGATGAAGCAGTTTTGGAAGCGGCTGCTGGACAAGAAGAATGCACTTGATGCTACGGAAATGTACACTTAAGTGACTTATGTGATACATTGTTGCATACATATTACCACAAAATGTTTTAATTGTTCTGAAGTAATTATATTTGTACACTTATATTTTTCTTTTCTAAGATTCAGCCTCAATTGAGACAAAGTTATAAATAATGAAAATTAAATCCTTAAGTTAGTCATTCAAATTCACAGCTAACACAGAAAAGGAAAAAAAAAACAAACCTCAAAACCTAAATTTCTGTCTTTCCCTCAACACCCACAGAGAGTGGAGTGCACCAAGGTCAAAGTCCTGGGCTGGGTTCTCGCTCAGCCACAAACCCTTTATGAGAACTTGGGAGACCGGCCGAGGGTCTCTGAGCCTGCTTCTCTCACTTTAAAATGAAAATGATACTACAGTAGTTATGAAGATTAAGTTCACACATACAGCATGCTGAGCAAGGTGCCCACTGCAGAGAAACCCTGACATCAACCCCTCGATCAGTTCACAAATTAGTGCACCAGAAATTAAAACCTTCCTCTAAGCCAGATCAAAACTCTTAAAGCCTCAGCAAATTTGACAATATTTGTAAAGAAAACACAGACTTTTGGTGCTGGAGCAGCCAGCCCTTTGTGCACTCAAACATGGTGGGTGATGCACGGTTGACTCGAGGTGCAGGACAAAGTCACACTTCTACTGGGTTCTGGAAACACCTGTGGGCTGGGCCCGGGTCCTGTGTGATACTCACTGGATTCTCTTTTTCTACAAAGGAGGGAAACTGAGTGTTCTCAAGAAAAAAACTGAGCCACCTCTTCTCACCCAACAGCAAGAAGTGTTCCACACTCGTTGCTTGGACCCAGAAGAAGCCCTGAAAGCCTGGGCCAGGTGTGTGGACACCACTGGACAGGTGCCACTCGCCATTCAGAGAACTGTGTTCCCACAAGTAGAGGACGTCCTGCCCTGACTCCTGCTCAAGTCAGGCACTGCTCACTGTGTGCTCAGGTGCACCTGGCTGGGATGGGCACCGATTCTGGACCAGATGTTGGGTTTTCATCAGTAAATAGGTCAGAGGCCTGACCCCGAGAGGGGACGGAGCCAGGATGTCTCTCTCCACAGGAGCATGTGGCTGGTAGGGGAAGTGGGGCCTGGCTGATGAATGCTGGGCTTGAGGCCTCCACAAGTGGACTCTGGGAGGCAAATCAGGAGATGTGTCAGTCCACTTCCTCAGGCTCCACAGTGCTCGTCAGCTTTGAGCTGATGGACAGGAAGGTGACATGCCAAAGCTTGTCAGTAGGGCTGCACTGGACATGAGTGTGGGCTTTCATGAGGCTGTGTGGAGCCAGCCACACAGGAGGTCTGGCACCTCCACAAAGCTGCCCTGAGGACACAGAGATGATCATGTCATCCATGGTATAGCATGACAGATGCCAGCTGGGAGCTGGGCTGCTGAGTGCAGGAGGGAGTCAGCTTTGATTCTTACCTGCCCTCCAGGATCCTCATCTAGCCGTTCATTCATTGCACCTGGGCCAGAACTCTGGCTGATGAATCCTGGCTGTGTGACCTTGGGCAATGCCTGGCCTGTCTACCTCAGCTTCATCTGTGAGGTGGTGGTGCTAGCTGCACAGTTGTTGCAAGGATTAAATAAGATAGTCCTCTAGGCTGAGCCTGGCACACACCAACCTGTCCCTATGGTCATGAGCTCATTCATCACTGGCTGTCCAGTGGATACACAGACCAAACACTGGTAGGTGGAAGGAGACTCCCAGACCTGACCCTCCACAGCTCACGGTCCACCCAGAGCCAGGCACAGAGGACAAGAAAAGTCCCTGACTGGGGTTTTGCGGGAAGGGAGGCCACAGGGCCAGAATGAGAGGACTGACCCTGAACGGAGGTCAGGGCAGCTCGTGCAAGAGGTGTCGAAGATGGGTGCTAGGGGCCAGGGCGGGGGGATTTCTCCACAGAGGGAGCTGCATGTGTAGAGAGGTGCTGAGGTGTTCCGGGGGGAGGGGGGATGGTCAGCAGGAGAGCAAGGGAGAAGTAGCTCTCCCTGGATCCCTGATGGCGTCGTCTAGCTAACACTTTCTCTTTAAATCTTGATTCTAGTTGCTTTGTTTCACATGTTTTTTTGGGGGAAATTAGCTGTCAGTTCATCTATCTAGTTGGAGACCACAGTGCCCATGGCACGGCCTCTTGTGCCTATGGGGGCTGGAAGGGAAATCCTGCCATTCCACCCTGCTCACCTGGACCCAAAAGAACTTGTTCCCGGGTGAGTTCACATCTCACCTTTGCCTGGCTGGTGGGAAGTCAGCAAGGTCTCCTGCTGGAAGCTTTCCTGGGGCTGACCAGTGCCTTGGTGGCTGCAAACTCTATCTAGGGGGTCTCTGAAGCATTTGTCTCCCACATTCTCTGGGCCTGTGGGAGCCAAGGCCTGCCTGGCACTGCAGCCAGGCATAGGATGATGTGACACAGGCCCACTGTGGCCCAGCCGCTGTCTGTGGCTCAGCCAGCACCTTCCCTTGCCTCGTCTTCCCGATCTGAGATCTGGGAATGAGCAGCACCAGTCCATGGCTGAGGCAGCTGTGCAAGCATTAGACACATGGAAATGGTGAAGATGTAAAAATGCCAAGGTAACAAACCAGTTCAGGATGGAGGCCTGGGCAGAGAACAACTGCTTGTGCTCCAGGAAATACAAGGCAGCAAGTCCCAACTTCTGTTTCCCTCCATGTGGCAGAAACAGGGGACTCTAAAGCATAGTTTGATGGCTGAGAGCATGGCTCAAGTGGTACAGCCAGTGCTTGCCTAGCAAGAGCAAGACCCAGAGTTCAAACCCCAGTACCACCAAACAACAACAAAGCATAGTATGAAATACCCCCCTCTGTGGTCCACGTGGGAAACGGACCTGCTGCCACTCCCTGGAGGGGGACTCTGGCAATTTTCATTACCACACAGCCCTTTGCCATCACTGTGTGGTTCCATCTGGGCCCCAGATAGGGGCCCCCTCACATCTGGGTACCGCACCCCATACTGCAGCTGTCCACGGGTCATCTGGACATGGGAAGCCACAGGTGGGGCTGTGGGGAAAGCCAGGGTGAAAGGTATCTTCTTTTTATCAC